AGTCTAAACTTGAATGCACATCGGGGGCGATTTGTATAGGAGTTTACGCTTATACATTGTAGATGACTAAAGCAAGGATATTTTGACGATTAATCCAGTTACCCTGCTCCAAAACGTTCATGTGAAACCTACATTCGTTAAGATATATGTTCGAAACTTTTCAAAATATTCATCGTTTGTGAGCGATGGTAGTTTTTGTCAACCGAAGGGTTTAACGTGTTTCTTAACATATTTCATAGCGTTTTTATTGGACGAATCGGAACGCCGCATGGTCGACAAGATTTCTTCTTCGACCGCCGCCCGCGATGGTGGACGTGGCGGGGAACTGCACGTTTCCGCTCGAGATGGGGCCGCTTCAGATCAACTACATGGAGTTTCACTACTGCGTCATGGCAGGACACCCGTGGATCTCAATGGCTGTGCTCTCCATGTGGCTCTTGCTGCTCTTTTACCTTGGTAGGTGTTTCAACCTCACCGACACGCGCCTTACTCGACTGACACAGTTGGACACACGGCGGACTCATACTTTTCGCCGACGCTCTCCATGATCTGCACGCAGGTACTTTCGACAGACGCCGACGTCGCTCGCGTCTTTCTCACGGCTTGGTTTCTTCCACGTAGCTGGCCATCCCGTTTGATGTCGCTGGCGTCACCCTTCTTGCGTTTGGAAACGGTAGGTCTTCTCTCATTCCATCGCTCGCTCTCACACGAACTATTCCACTTGCGCAGGGGCACCCGATCTATTCTCTTCCCTGGCGACGTCAACATCGGGAAAGATGGAGACTGGGCTGAATGCCCTGCTCGGCGGGGTTATGTTCGTCACGACAGTCGTCGTGGGCGCTTCGTTGCATGCGTCGCCAACATCCTGCGTCAAAATCACTCCACGACCATTCTGCCGCGACGTCCTTGCGTTGCTGTTGACGTTGGTGGTGCTCTTCATCGACCTGCCATCGTCCGCGACCACTCGCACGAGCGCCTACCTCCTTCTCGGGTGCTACATTGTGTATGTCGCGGTCGTGCTCGTGCCGTCGTGGTGTTCAAAGCACAAAAGCACCGCCGACACACCATCGAGCCCTGTGGACACCCAAGGCGTGCTGTTTGCTTTTTGGCACGCGCCAGACCTTTTTCCGCCGCCGCATTCGGCGCACGCGTACGGTTTTGTGACACTCCCCGACCATCCTCCAGGCTTTCATGGCGTCACCAAGGTGTCCCAGCATCCGTCGTCATTATTTCACGTCGACGACACGTACTTTCCCGTCCCGACGTCGTCCGAGTTGTCGGATCCATTGCTGCAGACATCGACAAGTCCGCTGTCCCCAGACACATCCTCCACTGCTCCACTGGTGGCCCCCGTCGCTACGGTAGCACAGCCCTCGCGCATGCTAGCCCACCATCCCAGCGCAAGTTGCCGCTGGCGCCTCACCACCGTCCAATACATTCTCCTGGAACTCGTACGCGACGCCACGATCCCCATGGTGTTTGTGACCACGTGGTCTCGGCGAAGTGCATTCCTGTCGCTGCTCGTGGCGCCGCTCTTTGTCGGGTGGATCGTCGCCGGCGATGCCTTCACCCCCGACCCCGCCTGCATCACCCTCGCCATCTCGTTCCCCCTTGCGTGCCTTGTGTTTGCTTCGTCCTACTCGACGTCGCCGCCGTCCAGTGTGTACGTCCGGGGACTCTTTTACCTCCTCGGGTTCACGTCGTGCGTGTGCTGGATATACGGCCTCGCGTCCGAAGTCGTCGCCGTCCTGGCCACATTTGGCTCGATCACAAAGCTGCCGCCTAGCGTCATCGGGTTAACGGTATGGCTTTTGCGCTGCATTTCGTTCGACGCGTGTTCCTGGTATGTGATGGATAGGTGCTGTCATGGGGCAATTCGCTCGGCGATTTGAGCACGAACGTGGCGATCGCACGCACGGGATGTGCCGAGATGGCTCTGGCGGGCTGCTTTGGCGGGCCCGTGTTCAACTTGCTCGTGGGTCTCGGCATTCCGTTCTTGTGTGCCAAGGGTACGAACGGCGGCGCCGTGCCGATCGACGTCCACGGGCTCGTGTCGCTCGCGTCGCTGGCGCTGAGCCTCGTCCTAACGCTGGCCGTCGCCCTCGTGTACCGATTCCAGTGCCCCAAGTGGTACGCGTCCGTGCTGTATGGGGTGTATGCCGTGTATACCATGGCGCACGTTGCGATTTTGATGCGATGGGTCGATCTCGACACCGCGACGCTTTCCATGGGCGGCCTTTGAATACATATACGATGCAGTTTGCCGTTGTGCATCGCGATACAACCGCTGCGCCAGTGTCCGTCGCGGTGCCCCTTCCTACCCATCGTGTTTCGTCGGGTCGTCGATCGCGGCGGCGGCATCGCATGGACGAGCACCATCGCTTGGTACAGCGACGCCCGTCTTGAGCTGTGCGACGGTCCAGTCGTTGGCATCGTGGTGCGCATGCCCATCGAACACAGCTACGCGCGATGGACATTTTGCATTCCGCTTTTTGGTTACAGGCGCGGCGTTGGACTCGGTGCGCGGCGCTTGTAAAACAAAATGTACGCGGCATTCGATACGACGGATGCCGCCGACACGGACGTGACGGCGCTGTCGTCAAAGTTGTACCAGAGATTCGTCGCGTGATCTTTGGCAAACGCTGTGTAGTGGCCAAACCCCATCGACCCAAAGTGGTTGGTGGTCGCGTACAAGTCGTAGATGAGGCTCGATGCGTGGTCCGGAGCGGCGCTGAGGCAGTACGGCGCCATGTCGAGCCCTTCGACGGGAAAATCCACCAGCACGTCCAGCTTGTCTCGAACGACGTCGTTGCGGTACTCGAATCGCTTGAGCGACAGGATCAAGATGTCGGGCAGGGCATACAACTGCATCGTCTTGGTCGCCTGGTGTGCGATCGAACCACACGTTACGTCCAAAGCCACACGAGCCATCCAACAACGTACTTGGCGGTGTTGTTTGCAGTTGCTGCAGTACCACAAGTTGTCTTCATCGAGTTGCTCGGCGCTTGTAAACTACACCGAGACATGAGTCGGCACGATAACCCACGAGCGGCGGCGGCGTTGTCGTCGACGTACCTTTTGGAAGCAATCGGCCAGAGTGAGTCCGTGCGTGGCTCTTGCCTGGATCGTGTCGAGCCTAGACCGTGCCACGACACAATTCAGCGCGCGCATGTCAGCCACACGTTTCCCGCCACGTCGACGGGTGCATCGTCACGTACGAACGATGTGGCAGAATGAATGGCTCGGTGGCTTGGTACAGCAATCGCATGTCGCCATCCCAATCGATGCCGACGTAGCCCGCATCGGACTAGGCATCGACGTCAGAGATCTCATGGCATCGCGATGGCGTGACGCACCAGCTGCAGCGTCGACATAACAAGCGCATGTTTTCCAAATCCGTCGGCGTCCGCCATGAACGCCGCTGCCGCCTTGACGCCGTCTTGATTCGTCACAAACATCTACCGACAAGATGCGCGTGTTTGCCAACCAGGCACGTATCCACTCACATGCGATGCCAAACAGAGCTGCAAGGTCGGGTCGTCGAGCCGTTGCTTCGCCTGCGCTGGTGTCCATCCAAACAACGGGACGAGCTCCACGAGCACTTGCTCCAGGAATCTACAACGCATACGAGTCATCTTCCCGACGCGTCCAGCACCGGCCGCCCTCCAACGTCGACCTCGCTCGGCCGTGCGTCGGCAGCAGCCATGCGGCGCTCGTACGCACGCTTCAAATGTGGTTTGTCGGTTCAGCGACAGCATGAGCGGGTCCCCAACCAAGGTCGGTTCCAAGCCAGCGCCTCCTCTTTTGTATCTACCACAGCCATTTCGGGTGGGGTCGTTTCAAGGGTTATTCGTACCCGCGATGGTAGCAAAAGAGCACGCATTGCGCGGTCTTGGGTGGCTGTGGGTACACAACGAGCCGATCGTCGGGGCGAATGCGCGCCATCCGTTCGTCGTCAGGTAGGATGCGGTAGACCAGATGCTGAAACACGTCGCACATGACCAGAGACGTGTACGGACACCCGGCTTCGACGACAGCCATCTACGCGATCGTGTCGATCACATCAACACCCGCGATGTCCCGCGCCGCAGCACACAACGGAATTACCTTGATGGCTTTGACATTTCCTCGCTTGTGCACGTGGACGCCGTACTTGAGCGGTCGCAGCGCGGCCGCGTCGTTGGCACTCTCGACGCTCTCTCGCGTCAATTTCGGCATTACAATCACCTGAACGACATGCATCGTGTCAGCGGTCGCATGGGCCATGCGATGGTCCGTACGCTACCTCGATGGACCGCGTCACGGCGTGCGGCAGCTCCAACTGAACACAGTTGAACGGATCAAATGTGATCGAGACCTTGTCGCAATGGGGGCATACGACAGTCGACTTGAACTGGCCGTGCAATGTGTCGACCACGATCGATTCGTTGCGGAGTTTGTGATGGCGCCACGCCGTCGCGGCGACCACGGCGTCCGGTTCGGTCCCGTTCGAGTCCTGAACTTGCACGTATGGCTTTTTTGTGATCCGATTCACATCTTCGTGCAGCCCGTCCAAGAGATACGCCAGCAGCTCCTGGGCGTCGTGCTGTTGGTAGCCCGAAAATTGCGGCGCAAACGTCCCAATCGCGCGTTTGAGCGGACCAGGCGACACGCTGGAGGCCGTGCCCAGCCACAGCTCCTGAAGCAAAAGACGCATCAAACGAATGCTGCGGCTCCAAACCCTGCGATCGACGCGGGTGGACGTACCTTGAGAAGCAAGGCGTACTGCGTCGCGAGCTTCCCGCCCGTCCCGAGCACGTTGTCCGTGTTCAAGTCGGTCTGGTACGAATTGGTGAGAAAGTGAAATGTTAGCGCCGTCGTGTGACTCAAGCACTGCAGCGCCGCATTCATAAAGCACGTGTTGCCGAGGTTGCGCAGCCCGGCTTGGCCTTGTCTGCCATGGATGTCGACGGCGCTGACGGCGACGGTCCCTTTGATGCGGGCGCAGTGGGGTTTGTGGTATTTCCAGTGCGCCAGTTGACACGCTTTCGAGCAGTACATGCAGTGTTTGCAATGGCCACATCGATTTGTACTGGGGCGGTGGCACACCTACGCATCCCACCCACACCATGACACCCGACCCATCGGAATCCGTCGTCGTCCACGATGACGTCGGCGACGTCCATCAAGCTTCGTACCATACACCGCTCTGGCCGGGCGTAGCGCTGGGGAGTGTGCCCAGAGTGTCCAGCAGCGGCGTCTTGAGCTGGTTCAGTACAGCCACCTCCTTCGACTTCAGCCTCAGCACCCATGTCAACGTCGCTGTCAGAGCCCGCTGGGTCGTTCGGGTACAGCTCCACGCGCTTCAGCGTCGACTTGGACGGGTCGCCGACTTGTACCACAAACCGGCAAATTGGTGGCCCTCCGCCGTACCTATGTTGCATGGGACCACACGAACGAACGGTGGAGAAAGGTTTGGATTCGTACCAAGCCACAAAGGCGTCCCACACTTCTTGGGGCTGGAGAATGAAATGCACGTGCTCGACCAATTCCCGACATAGCACGGACCCAACGGTGCCTAGTCAGGTGTGTATTATGGGGTGAAGCGAAAGGCACACGTCGTACCGTCCAGGAGCTCGGATGTCGAAGCATCGAGCAGATGGTGGTTGTCGATGGATGGCGGCTTGAAGCCACCGCTGCGACTGGGCGATCCATTGGCGCCACCTACGTCTACGAGACAGCGTGAGTCCCATGATCCAAAGATGAGCCCAGGACGAACCGTAAAAACGAACGTAGTTGCACCAACTCTCCCACCACTTGAAGCTAACGACGAAGTAGCGGTCGCCAACAGTCATGCCCTGTAGCCACATCAGCGTCCGTGTGTGTGAAGAGAGGATATGTGCCATGGGGCGATCGACGACGTACATGCTCTTTGTATTGTTCGAGAAGCCGACGGACAATGTGTCTTTGGGCATCGGGGGAGGGGACGACGGGCTCCGTACGAGGGATATGGTCAGCGTGATGGTCTAGACGAACAATCGGGTACGTAGGCAGCGCGACCGTCTGAGCACCGGAGCTCAAGGAAACCGCAGTCGACACCACGTGGCCGTCTGCTTTCTTTTTGGCCATCTTCCGGTTTTTCTTCTTCTGTGCCTTGGTTAAGGTCGCAGGAGTGGTGCTTTTCGCGGCATCATCACTTATGACTTCCATATCTGCCTGCTCGACGCACCATGCTCTTCGGTTAACCGTGATTCCCATCCTGTCCGTTGGTACCTGCGCCGGTCGCCGCCGATCGCTTCCCGATCAAAGGTCGGATTATCCGGATTCTCCATTGCGCCGCTCGTTTTAGTACGTTTTATCCAATCATTGTTGTAATCGTCGCCAGGAAAATAAAACGTCGCTCGTTGAAAGTCCCGTGGTATCCGGACAAGACCATGCACCACGATATCTTGAACAGTCACCCGTCGGTAGCACCAACATGCATCGACCAGCTGTGTCAAGCACCACCACAAGATGCACATGGCGATAGGACTGCAAGGATAGAGCATGCCAGACCCACACAACTAGATATTCACGGTCAATGTGTCATGCCAGGGAGGTGTTGACGCAGGCATGGCAGGTCAGGAGGTGTTCTGGATGGACGAGCTTTCCCCATCCAGCTGGCGGCGCACAACAACAGGCCGATGACCTGTTGTTTCCAGCGTCAAGGTTGTTCTATTCGCTCTTGCCGGCGCCGGGAATGCTAGCGATCGTTGTTAAGGTCGGAAACTGCCAGTCCGATCTCTCGGTCGCCTATACAACCAACGTGGGCGCCGCGATGGCTTTCACGTGGGCCGATAACTGGAGATCCATTTTGCCGCAACGACGAGGTCTGTTGAAAACTGCACCGGTTTCACGAACGACACGGGAAAACCGTCGTCGTGATGGCGTCGACGTCGGCGTACCAAATCTCCCTCGAACCCGACCGAGACACACCCGGCGTGCTCCTACACTCGACCGAGTCGTCGCCCTTTCTCAATTACGACACTCTTCTCGACCATGCGTCGCCGTCATCGTCGTCTGAGCTCGAGTCGCTGCGCACTGTGGACCTGACGTCGCCCTCAGCTCTTCACCATGACCTCTATGCTGCATTTGATTCCAACTCGTCGTCACCTGGCATCATGTTCGACGTGCCTCCTCCAGACCCCGATTCCGTTTCGCCAACGGACGATGTGCCAGTGGCCATCTTGAGCTCTGCAGCAATTCCAAACACGGACAGTCTTGGCGAGGACCATCAAGCCCCTGTGTCCCAAAGCCCAACGGCTGTGGAAATGTCTACGACTCACGCTTCCAAGCACCTGTCGACGGACACAACAGGCGACCGTAGATTGGATCCATTGCAGCCGTTCGTTTCGTTTCATGGGCATCGGATCTCTCCAAGTGATGGGCGTGAATATTTCGCCCTCGACCCGGACGATGGCCACCATGACGGAGCTGCTTTCAAGGGCGACATGGCCCTTGGCAGTCACCACCCCAACAAGCAAGCGCAAGATCTCTTGACGCGTCTGTGCTGCGCGTTGCAAGTGCACTACAACGGATCAATTTGCAATACCTCGTCCGATTCGAGCCACTCGTTTGTCAGCGTCGAATGGACGGTGGTCGACGCGGTGCACGGCTCGTGGCGCGATGCACACCTTTACAACGTCACGTTTCAATTGGCAAACGAGAGCCACGACATCCACACGATTTTTGATGACGTGGCGGTCGACAGGTTTCTGTCGAGTCCAGTACGAGTCTCTCTAGTGAGCACCGATCTTTCACAAGCGCCCGTAGGTTGTACATGTTGTATCTCTGCCGCCTCCGCGCAGTCTCGACCTGGCTTCGCCGGTCGAATGGTGGTTCCGTCTAGGGCTTACGGGTGTAGCGGCGCACGACGAAGGTTTCTTTGCAGATTGGATGGCTGTGCCGATGGCGTCACCATTGCCACCTCACCGTCTCGACTTTCACACAACTGCTACCCCCTCAACAGTGAGTTTTCACTGGAGTCCGTGGCCATCCAACTTTGTGTGGCCACACGTTCGTGTCGCGATGCGGCGAGAGTTTGGCGGGCGTGATGTTGGTGGACATTTTGAATGGTTCACAGCGTTCGACGGCGCCGTGCCACCAGACGAAGCCACCGTGACTATCCCTTCGCTCACTCCAAACGCATGGTACACGTGCCGGGTCACGGTCCGTCCGACGCCACGGCCAAGCCATATTCGTGGGCCCTGTGGCATTCTCTGGACGCAATCTCGGGATTTCGAATGGATGGCTGTGGAGCGTCGAGTATGCACAGCCCCCCTGGCTCTGTCTTGGATCGGGATCGGAGGACACTGGTGGATACACGTTGACGCTATCGACGATAGCTTCCAGCACGTGACTACTGAAGTGGACGTGACTACAGCCACGCGTCGGACCTCAGTCAACCGGGTCGACTTGTCGGGAGGTGCTGGTGTTGCTCTGCTCGAAGGCGTGCAAGATCGCGGCGAGTACATGGTGCAAGTGATCCGCACTGGATGCATCGACGACTCGAGCGAACCAACCTTCATCGCAAAATCGGACGTCGTGCACCTGTCTACGCACAGCCCGGCTCGACTGCCGCAGCTTCATCCCCATCCCACAAATCCCGTCGTTGTGACGTGGCGCCCGCTCACGACGGTTCTCGCGAGCTTCCTCGCCACCGTCATGTTCGTCAATTTGGAGCAACAAGTTGTGGCCGATGGAACGTGGGTCGTCGTTGCGTCCGTGTCTAAAGACGACCAAGCATTCAACACGACGGCCAGCGCCACCCAGGCGACCACTTCAGGCTATCGGTTGGCGGCGTATGCCGTAGGTGCGGACGCGCTGCGCTGCATCGCGACAAGCAATACCGTGTACATCATGCAGCCCGTCGTGTTGGTGGTGGAAGGATTGGGGCGACATGCCACGTTGCGCTTTGACTTTCGCCTTCCCGAGCACGTCCTCCATCTCTTTCCTCGCGACGAATTCGATGTTGTTGTCGATGGGGTGCCGCATCGAGTCGCGTCCGACATAGTCGGTTGCGGCGGGACGTATGCAGTCGACTGGGCATTCGAATCGTCGGCGATGCATCGTGTGGCAGTGGTGCCGGTGGTTGTGCCAGCTTCGGACACCGTCGTGGTCCAACTCGAACCACCCGGCGTGTCGTACGTGCCGTCATGGCCATCCGTCGCTTTGAATGTTGCCGTGATCACACATTCCAGTGCGACGTGCCAGCTGCAAGTCGAGCCCTGGTCCAGCCATGCAGCACCGTCCATTCAGTGCCAAGTCGACATCCACGTGTTGTCGACCGCAGATGGATGGACAATGCAATGGCATAAGGCCATCGACCGAGATCGCAGCTCGTCCTGCCATCGAATACACCTCGACAACCTGTCCAGCCACACGGTAGCCGTCCATGTTTCATTGAGTTGTACGAAACCAACGTTGGCATGAACGCAAGGTGGTTCCAGTTCGCGTGCGCCTTCGCGTGCGCCCCACCCACATGTGGGAAGACGTGGTGACGACGCAGATTGTCACAGGTATGGCTCGGAGTGCGGGGCTCGCTTGAGGCTGAGTTGGCTATGCTACAGCCTGTGGCGCCCTCAGCATTGCCCCAACCGACAATGGAGGGCTTCTGTTTTCATGGCGCGAACCTTCTCCTGCCGTCGGTCTATCGTATGGTATTCAGGGCTACAACGCCTCCCGCGGCAGTTTTGAAACATGGTACAACCCGCGTAATGCCCTGCCACGATCGGCGCCGCTCGTGTCCAGCGACATGTGTGTGCCTAACGCTGCTTCATGGGGTAGGTATACAACGGATCGGTCCCCTTTTGCAACCCCTCCACTGGCAAAGCCTTTCCATTTGTTGCTCTTTCGCCTCCAAACCCATGTCGAGTTTCACATTCCACTCGACGGAGTCCCCCAACTCGCCCTCACCAGTACGAGCGATCTCAAGCATACCATACGTCAACTGCGCGATGCTTGAGTAGACCCCGATCCACCCACTCTCGAGACAGCCGTGGCACGCCACGCGATTCTGGCGTACAAGAGTTTGAATCTCGCCCACATTCCTGCAGCCGACCGCCGACAGCTAACACCAGCGCTGTCTTCATCTGCACACTTGAGCCTGGAGACGATTCGGACGGCCGTCAATGATAGCGACGACACCACGTCAACGCATCCTCCACCGGTGGCAGATTTGAAAGTGCTCGGGGCGGCTGCGGTGAGCCCGCTGCAGCCCCACACAACGTATCGAGCGCGGTTGCGTTGCACGTTGCCCAGCAACGGTGCGACCTTGACCTGTGCAAGCCAGTGGGTGCATTTCACCACAGCCAAGGCCGCTCCCGACGCCCCCGCTGCAATTTGCGTCGACGAAGTATTCCTGCCGTATCTTTCATCCATCCCGGCTACCATGGCATGTAGCTACGTGCGGGTGTCGTGGCAGGCTCCTCGAAGCAATGGCGAGCCCATTGCAGGCTACGCCGTCGAAATGGCCTGGGCAGCGCCTTCCCATGAGGGGGAATGGACTTGGCACGGCGTGTATGTCGGGCCCGCGACGTCGTTTTGCCCCACGGCCGGGCAATTGCGAACCATGCGCCGACCACTCGAGACCGTGGTCGCGTTTCGAGTGCAAGCTGCAAACGCATTGGGATGGAGCTCGTTCTGTCAAAGGTATGCAGTTGAAACGATCCCGTCTGAAGAAGGCACGTGTAGCGGGGGCCACGTGTGCATTGGTTTGCCCCAAGCCGTCGCAGCCCTCGCTCCAGAATGCATCGCCCCACAAGACGCGCCCAACGCCAGCCTTGTCCGGTCCAAGCAAGCGCCTGCACATTCCTTGCTGCCCCCCGTACGGCGGCGGCCTGCGGTGGACGAGAACTCGCCTTGCCAGGTGTATTTGAACGCCAGGCAACACTTGGTCCTTCCTCGCACCACGTATCAACAAGAGCGTCGCGCATGGTACTTGGCCACGACAGTAGCAAGTGAAAAATCCCCCACCACGACGCAAAGAGCCATCTCTGTCTATCGATGCCCCAAGAAGCGAGGTCCGAATCCAGCGACTTAACGACGTCGTTGGCCAGCACACTCAACACGCTGCGATTATCGGTCGTGCCATGCTTTGGTTTCTCGTTTCGGTCGCTGCAAATGCCTCTGTCTGCGACTCCCAGAGCAGGGCCGTCAACGTTGACGCTGGTGTCAAAGCAGCATCAGCGTTGACAAAATGAAAGAGTTTGAGGCACGATTCATGCAGAGATCCGGTCAACAATGTTCGCAGTGCGAAACCACTCTTCGTTCATGTCCAACGAACCGATGGCCGCATGTCTGGAGCAAGTTGAGTTGCCCATGTGTCCAATACTTCGATGGGCCGCGGGCTCGCGTTGAAGCGAGGAGGCGAATTCAAATGATGGCGCTTCCGTCGAGATGTCGAGTCATTTCCCACATTCACGCGTAGGGTTCATATATACTTGAAAAGTTACTAGGCGAGGCCGGCGGCGCGGAGTTGCTTGGCGAATTGGGCAAGCACGACCGCCATGCGACGGCCACCGAGGACGATGCGTGATTCAATCGTGGCCACGACCTTGGCCTGGTATGCCGCACTTGGGCACGCAACCTTGTTGTTCGTCCACGTGTTCAGATCAATGCCAGCGTACACAGCACTGCGCGCGACATCGTAGCTATCCAGGAAGGTCTTCTCCAAAAGCTTGTTCGTCGCGACGGCCTTGACAAAGTCTGCGTACGACAGCTTGGCGTAGTCGGCATAGTTGAGCGGGTCCTTCAACGACGCGTACTTGGTGAGGAGCGCGGTCGCGTTTGCCGTGAGGTCGAGGCGATCCGGCGACCCTGGGACGCTGGTGGGGTACCAATTGATCGTCATGGTGCCGGCCGCGTTGTCCCAGAGTGCATGCAGGTTGGACGCAGAGCACGGCTGGGTGAACTGGTAGTTGTTGCCGCCGATGTCGCCGCCAGGAAACGTGTCCGAGATGCCGGTCGCGGAATGGCACGGCTGGTGAATGTCGCCGAACACGTGCAAGAAGAAGCGCAGGACAAAGTTGACGGACCACTTGGACTTGGACTTGGCGATCGTCTTGAGCGATTCGTGCAGCGTGTAGAGCCCGCGGCCGTCAATGTTGGCCTGGATGAGTCGATCGACGTCCTTGGACGTGAGTCCTTTCCAGTCCGTGCCGTTCACGTTGCATGGCAAGTCAATGTAGTGCCAGTCGTCGGTGAACTTGACGGCGGGCATGACGGGGGACGGGCAGTATGTCGTCGAGATCGAGTTGCACTTGATCAAGTCGGCCCATATCGTGGCGGTCGTGATTTCACCCGTGTTGGGGTAGTCGCCGTTCCATGACCCGAGGATCGACTGGACCGTTGCCACATCTTCCTTGGCCATGACCTGGGTCGCGACTTCGCCGACCAACAGGTGGCCTTGATCCCACCACGCATGGACAGACGCGATGGCCACGTACGCGCTAAGGATCGACACGCGCTTCATGCTTGGTTTAGAAAGAATCGAAGAATGGCTCGGCCTCGCCTGACGCGCAGGCGCGGCGCGCTCGGGGCTCGGCCATCCGTTCATCCATGTCAACCATGTACTACTTTGAATCTTCGATTAGGTACTTCGACAAGGCGTCCGACAGTGTTGCATTGTGTACACAGCCCCCTTGGCCAAGCTGTGGCGATGTCCGAGTGGCAGCCATAGTGTACATTCGCGTGCGTCGGCCGCATCTGTGGCCAGTTCGCGCCGTACCATGGCCACCCGCTTTGCTGCCTTGTGCTAGGCGCGGTGCCAAGTGGGCGCTCGACGACACCGTACAGTTTATTTCAGTGGAGACAGATGCTGCGTCACAATCCGCCGACGGGCCAACCAGATTGAACTTTTAACTCGGTCCGGACATACAAATATCAAGTGGCTTGATATCGTGAGGAATATTCAATTTCAAAAGAAATCCATTGAACGAAACATCAAATTCCGGAGGAAATTGAACCAAACGATTTCGTACACTATTAATACCAGGAGTCAATACTGTACAATGCACATAACAGCTCTCTCGATGTTGTCCGTTCATGGAACAGTGTGCCACAAGGTTTGCCATCGTTTTTTCATCGGTCAAGTCCTTTTCTCTGTCAACCGCCCAGCCATGCATCTGCTTTCGTGCCGTCTCCCGGTCTGGCCTGGTCACGTTGGCGAGTTTCGCACGGCGGCTTCTTGCATCCCAATGCTGTCAAAGCATTCGATCCCTTCTTTCTTCTTCTGGTACGATATATATATACATGCACTTGAGCTTTCCGGGGAGCTACTTGTCGCCATATTTCGACACTGCACACCCCCGAGGCATTTGAAAGTGCCCATGCGTGACCGAGGAGGTGTCGCCGCACCATTCGGATGAGACTGGGAGTACCTCTATAAACGAATATTTCCATTTTTGGGCATTGATGTCCTCCGGCGTGCGTAGTAGGATTAGGCTTGGCGAAGATTCACATACCCCGAGTATCGACGAAATTATAATTTTCTAAAGGAGTCCGAACTGACATATTTATCGGAGTTCGAATAAACTTGACGGTGCGACTACGGGCGCGTGCAGGCAATCTGACTCGCCGAGTTGAATTCACCCATCTTGACCTGGCTGTGTTGTTGAATCTCTCTGCGCGTGCGCGGTCGCACAGCAACCGTGTACGACAGCACGCGTTTGGGTGGCGCCCATGGTATCGTTCACATTCCTGTAGACACGCCCGATCCACGGGAGGGGGGGGTACATGGGGCGTACGCCCCACGCAAGCAGGACGAACGAGCGCCGCACGACGGCAGACCCCCTTGACGTGTATGCTGCAGTCGGCGAGTTTACAAGCTGGGGTGTATACGGGTATGTTCACCTTCGAACTTCGCCCGCATGGACGAACGATCGCGGCAGCAATCACGACAACAGCGCAAATGATGTACTGCAATGAATGGTGCGCATCTGCTTTGCAAGACACCTATGACCATATGCGGCGAGTCTTTCCCATACATTCCATGCATGGAATGGATCTTGTTTCCTGTATACTGCTTCCCCGTACCGTTCCTGGCGCTCTTGGCGATCCTCCGCCGCGGTCCCAACCACTAGAGTGGTCCACGCAGGCGTTGCTTGGTGCTGCGTTGTGTCGGCCAATTTTCGTTTGCAGCTGCAGCACGGATGAACCCGTTTTGCTTCACGACGTTGGCGGTTCTGTCGGCGGTCTCGCAGCTTGCTAATGGCTGGTGGGACAATGGCCACATGCTCGTCAGCGAGATCGCGACACAGACCATGGCCCCAGCTGATGTAACAACGGTGAACACTCTCTTGGCCATGTACGACGCAGACTTCCCCAACACGGGCTCCATCACGACGGCCGCGATCTGGGGTGACTTGATCAAGTGTAACTCGGTCGTGAGCACGTTTTGCCCGTCGACCAAGACGCCCGCGCTCAATATGATGGACGAGTGGCACTATGTGAACCTGCCGCTCAATGTGAACGGCACCGACTACAAGAACCTCAACTCGACGACCGGCGATGCGCTGGTGAAACAAGCGTTTGGTGGCCAGGCCCTCGACTTTCTGAACAAGGCGCTCACGATGTTTAGCAAGACCAAGTCGGCGCACTCGGCGAACTGGGCCCTCCGCATGGTCTTGCACGTGTTCGGCGACATTTCGAATCCCATGCACAACGTGGGCGGCGTCAACAGCGTGTTCCCTGCCGGCGACCTCGGCGGCAACAAATTCCTCTTCAAGGCTCCCTGCGTCGGCACGAACCTGCACGCGATCTGGGACAGCGTCGGCGGCAAGTATGGCACGGTCAACTGGAGCCCTACGTTTACCCCCGGCACCGCCGACTACACGGCGCTCCAGACGAACGCGACCGCCCTGCTCACCAAGTACGCGGCTGTCCAGGATAAGCTCGCCTTTGCATCCGTCAAGGACGTTGACTATGCCAAGTTCGTGTCGGCCATGAGCGCCAAGCCCGCGATGAAGATCCAGGCTACGATTCTTGAGTCGTATGACGTCGCCCGCCACGTCGCGTACAAAAACATCGACTTGAACTGCACGCTGGACGACAAGGGCATGTGCGTCAATCCGTGCCCGTCCTCCGACTACGTTAACGCCTTGATCGACACGGCGGAAGCTTCCATCACGATCCAAGGCAAGCGCATGAGCGTCATCTTGACCCAATTTGCCAAGCAAATTCGCGCACTGAACTTGCTCTCCCCCATCGTGCCGACAACGACAACGGTATCCCCAACTTCTGGCCCGACGACGTCGACCGTCGCCCCCACACCTGCTCCTACGAGCGCTCCGACTCCAGCCCCCACGAACACCACGACTACACCTGCCCCCACCACCACTCACGCCGCCTGCTAGGCTCCATGTCGTATACGATCATTCATCATCATGCTCCATCCAGTTATGCTCTTGACAATCACGCACTAGAAGGTGATTTCACTGGCTAAAATCATTTCAACATTGTCAATACACTCACTCTGATTGGATAAAAAGGATCTTGGTCATCTTGCTGATGCAAAAGGACACTGTGGAAATGAAGGAGAGGTCCATGACATGCGTGGCTGTCGTGACAATGGGGGCGGGTGGGCTCTCCTGTGCATGCTGTTCGCGCCGACATGCGCCGCGTGGGACAAAGGCCACCTGCTTGTAGGTGTGATTGCCACGTACCGGGAACCCCGGGAAAAGTCGATACCCCCAAGAATGCCGACCACCTCCAAAACATGATCTGTTTTAAAAAATTCCACCACCTGTATACTTCAATACCACATTGAATATGCCATTCCTTTGGACCAATTGCAGTACAGATAAAGTAAGAACTGGGATTGACTGGATGAAATTATGAAGTTATAGCCAATCAAGTGGGACGAATTCGCGTAATATATATACATATTGATTTTATTTTTCATGCATGTCATGATGAAACCATGTCAGCATTTTCCTGAGTTCACTGTAGTCCGTGCGAGCCAAGTAAGATTATGTTACGATTGGAATTGACGCTCTGAGTTTTCATAACAAGACGTTGATAGCGGTGCAGTCGTAGGAGGTGGAGGTCGAGGCGGTCAGAGCAATCGGTCCTCGACAATGCCGTTGACTGTGCACGAGCCTAAAGAGGCTCTGTAGCCGTGGTGTTATGCTAGGGTGGCACGGTCGGTCGCCGTCATCGACCCTGCAATCGGAGCGCCCGATGCCGTCGTCGGCGCGACGTAGGAAGCAAGGTTGCACAGAGGAGCTGCTCGGTGAATTCCGTCAAGATCGCGCTCAAGCGCTTGCCTCGGGTCGCGATGGACCCAGCGTCAAGCCATGCGTTGTCGTGCGGTCGCCACGGCAAGATGAACTTGTTGCTGGAATCTAGTGAGCAGCTTCAGCCTGAGATTTTTGGATTTGATTCACAAAACGATTCCATTTAATTGAGCACGACAATCCAACGAGGACTGAAGGACAGAGCAACGATGAGGGGCTCATGCACACCACACCAACACCGTGCTTTTGAACGCACTGGTCCATTGAGAAAGGCAAGGCTTGGCCCGGCAGCAGCCTCTCGCAAGCGATGTAGTTGCTCCCACGGTGGTCGCTGGACTGGAGCGTTGGGGAAGTCCTCGGGAGTGCCTGTGAAATCGTCGGCTTGGGGCTGCCAGACGTCGGCGCTGGCTTCGACGGCGTGGGGGTATGGTTTTCTTGGATCTTGCAAAAAATCACACTGCATGTCCATCGTACCAAGGGCCAGGCGAATCGATCAGCTCCCCGCCACCTCGCGACCCACGAATTCTTGATGCGGTGCGATGTGGCAGCGAAGTTCACAGCAATGTCAGCGTGATCGGATTGAGCTCCCAGGCACTGGGACACAATCCCCTTCCGGCATTATCGACATGGTCATGGACACGAGCTGGATGATTAAGACAGACGTGAGGCAAGACCCCCTGACACGCGAACTCTCGACGCAATGGCCATTTGCAGTCGTTTTGCACGTGCCAGTTTGGGTAACATAGGGGTAACCTTGCTCCAAGCCCGCCCCATTTACCATCCAGTGGATGGCGTACCAGGGCCAGCCGCGCTTGCAACCTTGGCTACCTCCGTTTTCGTGAAGGAGCTCGTGAATTGCCATTCGGACTAGTTGTAGAACTTACCCGAGGCAATGAGGTGAGCAGACGCACACACTGACCGTGGCAAAGGCCCAGCACGAGCGACTACTTGTCTCACTTCACACGTCGTCCAGAATGACCTCTTCCGCAAGTGGCGCTGGCCGACCGCGAACGAACCCTTGACGTAATCTGCAAAACTCGGCTGCCAACAGTAATGTTACGAGGTGATGGTAGTTGACCTGTGTGTGAGGCTTAGTCGCGCGGGCTTCATGGCAAACTTGGTTTTGAGGAGAAGCTGGTGTCGTGCAGCTCATCTTCGCTGATCGACTCGATGGCTGGTTG